CACACACACACACACACATGCACACACACACACACACACATGCACACACACACACACACACACACGCACACGCACACGCACACGCGCGATGGAGAGGACAGAAGAAGGGACAGTTGTGAGAAGATAGACCAGGGCCAGACCTGGCAAGGCTTTGGTTGCTAAGGGAGACACCTGCACATATTTCTGTAAGAAAACAGGAACTGAAGACATTTCAAAGCAGGAAGGCAGCATGTAAGCCCCTTCCTTCCCCACCGCCCTCCCCCCTGACAGCTCCTCTCTTTCTGCCCTTGCCCAGGTCTGGATGTCTTCAGGCGACGGAGGGCATACAGTACCAACCAGATCTCCAGCCAGAAGGCCTGCCCAAGGGCCACCACAGCCAGCGACCCCACTGGGACTGCCAAGAGACACCCACTTCGAAAAGCCAAGGTGCAGGACCTTGCCAGTCAGAGCAGCTCAGGGAGCCAACGGTGGCAGATTGATCTGCAGGTACCTAAGCAGCGTAGGGTGGGAGGGGGGCGGAGGAGCTTGGCTTGGCTATGGCTTACACGTAACCACAAAGATGGGGTGTTTATCACACGAACATTGAGATCAGTCCAGATCCAGATAATGCCAAGCCTTCTGATGATGTTGGGTTTTATTTGAAATATGTTTATCAATGACCCCTTAAACTGGTCATCTTTGGCTTAGTAAGTCACTCCTCACTTAACTGGACCTTTATCTGCCAACTTCAAACGACTTCCTAATCATGATGCTCCCTGGTCGGTGTGCTTGCCCGGCATAGGGCACCTGTATAGACTCTTGTCATTAGGTTTTATGGTACCTGAGAGAAAGGGAGTTTGGAGACCATCCATCCTCACTTGGTACAGATGTGGCAATTGGAAGTCAGAGAAGTAAGCAGACTTACCTGGAATACCCAGCCACCCTTGGACTTGACCCAGGAAGCCCTGGTCCTCAGGGTTCTTGCTTTTCCTCCATCACACTGCTGGTCCTTCCATGGCTGGACAGTCACCCAAGGCAAAGGAATAGGAGTCAGAGCCACCACAGGAAAGGTCACCAGTGTCCTGTTAGGTCAGCCCTCAACAACCTCAGCATTGTTACTGCCTAGGCTCTGCCATAGGGGTTGGTCCTAAGCATGCTAGAATGTCTCTGAAGTCAGGGGACAAAACAACCCAGTTGAGACCACTATGCTAAACCGCATGATGACTTAAGCATTTTCTTCTAGACAGAAATCATTTGTCCTAAGTGTATGGGCCAAAGCAGCTTCCTACCATCTCCAGTGTGCTTTCCCGCTTCCCTACCACATCCTCTCCCAATCTACACATAAGCATGGGCCACATGCCACCTAGCCCCTGGGGACTTTCCTTTGTGCTTCTCCAGGGACCCTCAGTGTTCTTGGTATATGTTAGCTAGTCTTGGAGTCAGGCATCCTTCTCATATATTTCTGAACCTCTCTGAACCCCACTGCCTCCTCTACAAGATGGGAAGATTGTAAATAGACGGGTGAGCCCCCATCAGCCACCATCCACCAGCAGATATGGAATGGGAGCATACTCCAGGTGGAGGAGGCTCCCAGGCTTTAGTGGATGCAGGATGCAGTCCTGGCCCAATGTCTGGCTGTAGCTGGTGTTCTTCAAAGGCAGTTCCACTCACTGAGTGCCCGAGGCAGGTTCACTCCTTTCTTCCTCCCATCTAGCTCCATCTCTTTCTCCTCTCCTGCCTGGCTGTCTCTTGCAATCTGTCTTTCCCCCAGCACTTCACTCTGTGTTTGTAGATCCCCCCCAGAGACTCTGGCTGGGTGAAAAGCATGCTTGTAGATGCCTCTGTTACCATGGAAACTGTAGCAGAGTCCATTTCTCTCTGACCCATTGTGGGTGGTGGTGAGGTCAGCAGAGAATATCTCAGTGGAGGGGTCAGAGAATCGTGGCTTGGCACCTGCCCCCCCCCAGAAGTACCCTAAAGTGGCCAGTCTCCTTTTCTTTCCATACCTTGAGCTATGGGTCCTTGATTTAGAGACAGGAAGACACCCCTTCTATGGGAGGCACACCCCAATATATACTAATACATAATAATGTGACAAGATTCCCCAAGGTTTACTGATATCCCCCCCCCAATTCCATTACACCTGGTAAGTGGTTTTTTTTCTTCTCATCTTATTTACCTACCAGGTCATGTGTATGGTCTAAGAAACTGGAAATTCATTTTAGCTTAATATTCTTCCATCACAAAAGCAATGCATACAACTCAGCATTTGGAATTAAATCTTTCAAACAGTTCAGTTGGGTATAAAGTACAAATAAAGTCTCCCTCCCCTACACCAATGCACACTGATTTCAAGTATGTCTTTCTAGAAATACCATGCACATACACGTATATACAGAACACATGTATATTTTAATAGCTGCTTATGTAAATTGTGCAATTATGCATAGTGTCTTAATGCCGTTTAAAAATAAATTTGTATCGCATTTGTTTCCTCTGTGTACACATTTGGGTGGGTGAGTGGGTGTGCATGCTTCTACCCTCATGTGGAGGTTAGAGGACCATTCCTGAGAGTAAGTTCTCTTTCTACCATGTGGGTCCAAGGGATCAAACTCTGGATGTCAGGGTTGGTAGCAAGTACCTTTACCAACTGAGACATCTCCCCAACCCTCTTACTGCCTTTTGAATTCATGTTTACATACAGTAAAATTACTCTTCCTGATGAACAGTCCTCTGAGACTGATGATCACCCCAGTTTACTCTTTGTCATCACTGAGATACAAATCTGTCATAATTTAATATTTAAGGTATTTTTTTCCTCAACTATCTTCTCACAGCTGTATGAAGAAATCCTTCTATTCAATATTATGTGATACTCCATTACATGGATATATCATAACCTACTCTCCCCTACTGATGGAGACATAGTTTCCAGATTTTTTTTAAGTCAGGGTCTCACTGAGTAGCCATGGATGTAACCTGGGAACTCACTGTATAGACCAAGCTGGCTTCAAACTCACGGAGATCTGCTACCCTTGCCTCCTAAGTGCTAGGATTAAAGGCATTGCCACCTCACCCAGCTGGTTCCCTGATCTTTACTCCGATTGTCAATACAAAACAAATACACATGGCTTGCACAGAGACCCTCGGACCCCTCTGGCTCCCACAGGGTTGAATTTATAAGAGTGAAATGGCTGTCTCCGGTAACCTGTGGATTTCAATGGGTGATAGACAGACAGCCCGTTGTCCCAGTGTGTACCACTCCCATTTACCATCCATAAGAGACCCTGACATATTGAGCATCACCAAACATTTAGATATTTACCAATCTCCAGTATGGAAAACTGTGACTTGTTTTAACTGCCGTGGCTCTGAACATTTCTGCTTAGCTTATTGGTATGTTCAATATAATCTACTTATAGATGAATGCCCCACAATTCTGATTTTGTCTTTTCCCTTCAGTTACATGGGAGAGAATTTTTTTCTTTTCTTTTTAAGACCAGAATAAGAATAATTGTTTATTGAGTACACCAGAAGAGGGCAAATAGGCTGGGCAGTAGGTACGGTGCCACCTGTCCCTTAGGGCAATGCCTGACGAGGCAAGGGGATGGGGTGTCTTCCTGTGCTTGGAAGATGTTTCCTTGTGTGTAGCTTCTGGGCACATAGCGTGTGTCATGAGGAGGAGGGCAGTCCAGATTAGTTGAGTCACCACGGATGTGTCACCCAGTCACGTAGTCAGTCCCTGTCATGCACATCAGGGCAGCCCTGGTCCAAGGCCAAAGTCACCTGGCACCGGGATGCAGTCCCCTCACGATCCCGAGTCCCATATGGTGGAAGAACTCCTTTCGTGTGTGTCCTCTGACCACACATGCTCAGTGGCACACGGCTTTACATACAAACACACATGGTAAGGAAATTAAAATGCATTTTTAAACAAACACATGTTGTTACAGAAGTCAGTGGTTGGGTGGGACTCAAAGGATCCTGAATTCTCAGGAAACCCAAGCTATACCAAGAGCATTTTCTTAAAAAAAGAACTCCATCATACATGTTGCAAGGGCATTTCCCATTTACCCCTTGGCTTTTAGATGTTTGTTTCTACCAAGCCTAAGAACAGATAGATGAACTCATCAAAACAGACGGAAAAGCCTGTAAACAGCACCAAACACACACGCAAAAGCTTTGTAAGGATAGTGTAGCGAATTGATAAACCACAGAGAGCCCACTGTGTTCAGTAAACAGTGCTGGGATCCTACACCATTTGGAAAATCAAAGTAAAAGCTGGTTTCTATCGCCTTACAGGAAAATAAATTGCATATGAACCAAAGACTTAAAACACACAAACAAAAATAACAAAACTTCTAGAAGATTTTTTTGGGTGGGAAAGACCTTTTAAGCACGACATATGGGAAGACATACGGGAAAGGGTTGGTAATTTTAACTCCACACAAAAAAGGTTTTAAGCTTTATGCCAAAAAGGAAAGCGGGTGTGGAATTCTCCATGGCACGCAGTTCTCTGCGCCTTGGAGTTGACCTGTGGCCTGGGGGAGTTTTTTGGTCTCTATTTCTCATGGGTGGTGGAGACAAAGTCATGAGTTCCTGGGTCCCTGAGGGGCCTGCTCTGAGAAGAGCTGTGGAGGAAAGAGAGAGAGAGAGAGAGAGAGAGAGAGAGAGAGAGAGAGGAAAAGAGAGGAGGAGGAGAGAGGGGAAGCATTGGGGGGTCAGAATAAGGAGGCTCTAGCCACCAGCAACCATGGGCTTCACCTCCTCCTCCTTCACTTCTCTTCTTTCCCCCTTCCTCCTCCTCTCCATCCTCTTCTCTTTCTCTTCCTTCTCATCCCCTTTCCATCATCTCCTCCCTCCTTCCTCCCTCTCCCTCCTCCCCTCCCTCCTCCTCCTTCCTCCCTTCCCCTGCTCTCTGCTGTCCTCCTTAGCCCTTACTCAACAGTGGCCATGACCTGAGCCAGGGCCCCAGACTGCACGGCCCGGGAGCCCGCCGGCCGTCCCTTCTGCCTCAAGGCTGCCAACCCTCGCTGCTCTCTGGCCAGGAACCCCAGGCTTGGAGCCCTAAGAGGGAGCTGGATCCTGGCTCCAGCCCAAAGTCTGCACCTGACAGCCGAAGCTCTGAGGACCTGGGTAAGCGCCCAAGGTCCAAGATCTGAGGGGTCAGAAAGGCTAAGGCCCAATTTCAGATGACAGGGACCAGTGCCTTCCTCTGTGTCTTCGTGAAACTCTTGCTCTGAGAACCTCTCTAGTCCCACCTTCTCCACTCAACCTGATGGTCCCACCCTATCAATCCAGGCCCTCAGGGACAAGCTTCCTGAAAGGGAGATCTATCCCCCACTCGGAAGTTGTCCTCTACTCCTTAAGGGGGCGGGGGGCTAGCTTTGACTGCACCCGGGGAAAGGGTAGCATCCTCTATGGATGGCTCCCTGTCTCTGGCCTCAGATTCAGCCCTCTCGTCCCTCCACCCACAGAGCTACTTCATCACCCGTCCACCTTGGAGACGGAGACATCCTCAGACTGGGAGCCCATGGCTGAATTGGAGGAGCAAGTCAGCCCCTGCAGGCCCGCCACCCCCGGCCCTGTGCTGGGCAAGGCCTTGGTCAAAGGCCTGTGCGACAACCAGCGTCTGCAGTGGGAGGTGAGCTTTGAGCTGGAACCGCCAGCCCTGCAGAGGAGGGACGCGCAGGATGCCGACATGTGGAGCGAGACCTTCCATCACCTGGCAGCGCGAGCCATCATCCGCGACTTCGAGCAGCTGGCGGAGCGTGAGGACGAGATTGAGCTGGGTGAGAGCCCAGGATTGAGGAAGGGGCGGTATCCCCTACCAGAAGCCAGCCCTTTGGCAGCACAGTGCCCCACCCACTGCCCAAGCCCCGGCCCATTCCTTTCCAAAGCCCCACCCACACCCCAAGGCCCGCCCTCTAGTGCCCCATCTACTGCCCAAGATTCCCCTCCCCAATCTTCAGATTCCTGCCCACACCCAAAAGTCCTCAAAGCCTTTGCTCTAGGGGCTCCAACCGCTTCTCTAGGTTAGCCACCTAACCAACCAACTCCACCCAGTGTCCCCTCCCATGCCTAAATGTGCACCCTACCTGTCACCAAAGCCTTGCCCTTACCACATGGTCCTCTCTCTAGCCTCCCAGGGCCCTGCCCAGTGGCCTGTATATGCCCACCCCTCTTCACAGCACCTCCCAATGCCAAACCCATACCCCCCAAAAACGTTCATCCCTACCCTTCATAAAAGCCCCTCCCACAGCCTCAAAGTCTGCCCTCTGGGCACAGGTTTTGCCCACCTCCTAGATCCACCCATTCTTCATGGAAGCCACACCCCACACCCTGCCCACTCTTAGAAGCGGAGAGAAGGGATCCTCATTGTGCTTGAGGTCCCACTGTTAATTCTTCCTCCACTGCCTCCAACACTTACCACCGTCCCACACTCCTGCAGTGGCCAAGGCTTTCCACTCCACACCTCTCCCCAAGACACTTAATGGTGCCTGGGTTCTATCCTCAACAGGAGGTGCCCTCCCTTCTCCAGCCCTGGCCTCCTCCATCTCTCGCACTTTCCTGCCTCCTCCTCTTCTGCACTCCCTCACCTCCATGCTCCCTTATACCCAGCACTTTTCTGCAGTGTCCCGTGCCTGGTCCTGGAGACCCAGCAGTGATCACGGCTCCTCTGAGACAACCTTCCCTACAGAGTCCCTAGACCCAGCCAAGACCCTGCACTCTCTCATCAACCCCACTGACTTCCTGGTCAGCTGGGGACCCAGCTGGGGGCCAGGCTAGGTGTCTGGCCCTGTTGATGCCCCGGAGCTTGGCTGGCATAGAACAAAGCCAGTCCATCTTTTCCCAGGGGCACCTGGCACTGGCTAACAGAGGCCAACATTAATCAAACAATTACACAGATAATTAAGTGCTGTTCAGAAACACATGAATCTAAGCCATGTATAACAGGGATGGTTCGGGAGCTAATTTAGCTCAGGAACTGGGGCAGCCTTTCCCTAGAACATGACTATTGAGATCTGGATGAAACACGCTTGGAGAACAGAATTAAGAGCCAATAAGAGTTACATGATTCCTTTGTTCTAAGTTTATGCTTCATTTACATACTATGTGGCATATATTTAATTTGTATTTTGGGTTAATGCGTGATACTCTTTTCTTCCTGTGAATACTCCTCCACCCCTCTTTCCCTGGGCGGCTTCTTCTTCTTCTTCTTCTTCTTCTTCTTCTTCTTCTTCTTCTTCTTCTTCTTCTTCTTCTTCTTCTTCTTCTTCTTCTTCCTCTTCTTTTCTGGTTTTTGGTTTTTTGAGACAGGGTTTCTCTGTGCAGTTTTGGTGCCTGTCCTGGATCTCGCTCTATAGACCAAGCTGGCCTCGAACTCACAGAGATCTACCTAGCTCTGCCTCCTGAGTGCTGCACCACCACCGCCCAGCCTTCCCTGGGCTTCTTGAACAACCTCAGAAGGCAACAAGCTCATAAAGAGGACTCCTCACTATTTAGTAGAAAGGGCCTGAGCTTCCTGGTCAGGTCATACTAAATCCTAATCTCAGGTCCTTGTTAACTTGCTATATGACCTTACATGGATTCATTCTCTGGTTTCCTTTCTCTCTCTCTCAATCTCTCTCTCTCTCTCTCTCTCTCTCTCTCTCTCTCTCTCTCTCTCTCTCTCTCTCTCTGGTGTCTTTGGATGGGAGTGGTGGGGTGGATATGTAGATACAGAGGCCAGAGGAGGATGCTGAGTGTGACCCACTCTCTACCTTATTCCCTTGAGACAAGAGGCTCTCACCAAACTTAAAGCTTGGGACTTTTTGGCTAGGCTGGCTGGCCAGCAAGTCCCATGGGTCCTCCTGTCTCCCCATGCCTGCATCTCTGGCATTGGGTTACGGGTGGCCATGGTCACACCCAGCTTTTCAGTTGTATGCTGGGCATACAAACTTGGGTCTCATGCTTTCTTAGCAAGCACACTTACCCATGGAGCCATCTTTCCAGCCACAGATGTTCAATCCTCTCCTCAGAGGTAGGTCCTGTCAGACTGGGAACTCATGAAGCCCTGTAACAAGGTTCCCATTAGTCATCTGTAAAATTCAAATATAAAATACAGACAATGTAGACTACCTTCTAAATAACTGTTATTTAAGGGAATTCACTCTTTTATTTTAAGATAATGACTTAGTTTTTTTTACATTAAAATACCCTTTATTTTAAAATGATGAATTTTTTTTTGTCTGAATGTCTTTAGTACATTCACAGACCCTTGACTTTGAAGACCTATTTGGTCCCAAAGATGGAGACTGCTGGTCAAGCTTTCCTTTTAGCTTCCAGAGTCTCCAAAAATACTTTCTGATCCCCAACAGTGACCCTCACTCTTCCTCCCCCAGGGTCCAATCGCCGATACCAGGTGAACGCTGTGCACACCAGCAAGGCTTGCAATGTGATCAGCAAGTACACAGCCTTCGTGCCTGTGGACATAAACAAGAGGCGGTACCTGCCCACGGTGGTGAAGTACCCCAACTCTGGTAAGGCACGTCCGGTGCAAGGGTGGAGCACCTCGGTGCATGGGCCTGCGCTGGGGCTGAGATACCGGAAAGAACGGCCCTGCAGACAGGGGTGCCAGGCAATGCAAAAGCCAAAAGGCTCCCAGCAGGTGGCCCGGCCACCAAAGGGGAGAAGAGCAAACGCCTTTACTGTCCTTTGTTTTCCTCAGGAGGGACAATGAATGACAGGGGGTCCCAGAATGTCTAGATTGATGCAAACTAGGTACAGATGGGTCAGAGTGACAGTCACCCAGGAAGGAAAGCTTGTCCTTCCCTGCTGTTCCTGTCTGCGTTTCTCTTGATGGGTTATTCTTGGAGAGAAATCAAGACACATAAGGTTATGTGAGTTAGAACACACTAATACATGCTATGTTTTTCAAAACGTGGGTGTGAAATACTCTATCCCTGGAAGGAACCTTTAAATGTTTGTTTTGATAATGTGGTGTATTCCACTGCAGGGAGCTCCCACCATCCATCCTGTCATTCTAGCTACTCAGAAGACTGATGCAGAGGATGGCAGTTTAAGGACTATCTGGGCTACATACTCAATTTCCAAGGCTAGCCTGGGCAACTTAGCAAGACCTTCTCTCAAGATAAAAAAATAAAAAAGAGAGCCAGGGATGGCAGAGTGCTTGCCTAGTTTGGGAGTCCCTGAGGTCAGTCCCTAGAACTGACTTCTTTTGTTTTTACACCCAATCCATGTTCTAAAGCATATTTTAGATCACCTAACTTTCAGAACAGGTTCTGCAAAGTGACTCCATTATTGCCCAAAGTGACTTTTTATTGGGACTCAGAGGTGGAGGCAGACGAGGTTTAGAAACACTGCCTGAGGTCACAAAGCAGGACAGGCAGAGCTAAGCTTTGAATCCTAGTGGCCTGGTCCAGTCTGTGTTCTCCCCACGCCTCCATACTTTCTCCTAATATTTATTACAACCTGGGACTGGCGAGGTGGCTCATCAGTTAAACTGAGGAACAAAATGTGCCGAACCTGAGGAGCGAAATGTGATCCCTGGAACCCACATGGTTTAAGGAACCGACTCCTGAAAGTTGTTCTCTGGCCCTCACATGTGTCCAGTGGCAAGCTGTGTGTGTGTGGTGTCTGTGTCCATGTGTGTGTTATCTATGATGTCTGTGTGTGTCTGTGATGTCTGTGTATATCTGTGATGTCTGTGCATGTTATCTGTGATGTCTGTGTAGATCAGTGGTTCTCAACCTTCCTAATGCTGTGACCCTTTGATACGGTTCCTCATGTTGTGGTGACCCCCAACCATAAAATTATTTACATTGCTACTTCATAGCTCTAATTTTGCTATTAATATGAATTGTAATGTGGATATCTGATAAGCGATCCCTATGAAATCGGCTCCATCCATAGGTGGAGAACCACCGGGATGAGGGGACAGTTTTCATGGTTCTTTGTTGTGGTGGTAGCTATTGTTGTTGTTTTTGTTTTGTTGTTTAACTCTAGGGTTTTTCTTTTCTGAATTCCCCTTTCTTGGCATTTGCAAAGCCTTGTCCTGGCTTGGTTGGTGGCTTGTTTCATTTTGTGTTTGTTTGCTAGTCTTACTGGAGATGGAACCTGTTGTTCAAATGCTAAACGATCTTATAATAAAAACCCTGCACCAGATATTGGGGTGAAAGCTGAAAGATCAGAGAAGCAGAACAAGCCACAGCTACCTCACCTAGCCAACTCCTCAGCCGATCCTGTTTCCACAAATCCTCAGACTGAAAGCTTCTGAGTCCTCACCCAAAAGGCCTCAGCCAAAAAGAGCCTTTAGTTCCTGTCTCCTCACACCTTCTATACCTTTCTCCACCCTGCCATGCCACTTCCTGGGATTAAAGGCATGTGTGCTTCCCAGACAAAGGCGTGAGATCTCAAGTGCTGGCATTAAAGGTGTGTGCCACCACTGCCTGGCTCTGTTTCTCTCCTAGACTGAGTCAATCTCATGTAGTCCAGGGTGGCTTTGAACTTACAGAGATCCAGAGGGATCTCTGCCTCTCGAGGGCTAGGATTAAAGGTGTGTGCCACCCCTGCATGACCTCTATGTCTAATCTAGTGGGTAGCTCTGTCCTCTGATCCTCAGGCAAGCTTACTAGGGTACACAATATATCACCACAGGAACCCAGGGCCTTGGCTTGCTGGGTAAGCACTGTAATCCTGAGCTACAGCCTCGGGCCTGCAGTTTTTTTTTTTTCTTAACCAGATCTCCAGGAAGATGTTTAGAAACCAAACATGCCCTTCCTCTCCTTCCCCTGCCCTTCCTTTCTCCTTCCCTTTCATTTCCTTATCCATATTACCAAAATGATCCCTCATTCCTGCCTCCCCATTTCCAGCTCAGAACGCCAGCGCTGGACCAGAGGCTGTGGCCTGATGTAATGTCACTCCTGTTTCAGGGAAGCCTCTCTCTCTCTCCGCTCACCCAGCTCTGACCCTGTGGCTGGCATGTGTAGCACAGCCTTAGAGATCAAGGACCCAGGCCACTTCTCACTCCAAATCCAAAAGCCCCTGCCGTCTAGCCCACCCCTCCCCACATGTGTGCTAAGAAACCAAAACTCCTATTTCTTAGCCTGTGAATAGCTGTCTAATGCAAAAAAATAGAAACTATCAAGTCAGGAAGTGCATTCAAGGACCCTGGGTTAAATAAAGCTAGGAGCTTTCTCTGCTGCAGAAGCTCTCAGAGCCCTTGAAGTGTTACTTCACATCAAGACACCAGGGGAACATGGGCCACAGCTTTTCCAAATGTACTCCCCGAGGAGACTCTTCTTCTGTGTTTATTCGTGTATTTGTAGATGTGTGACCATATGGGTGGGTGCATGTGTGTGTGCACAGACATGTGTGTGTGCCCACATGTGGAGGCCAGAGGTCAGCCTCAAGTATTGCTCCTCAAGTGCTGTTTGTCTGAGAAAGTCTCATTGGCTGGAAGCTCAGTGAATAGGCTGCATGGATGGATGGATGGATGGATGGATGGTAAGTCCCAGGCATCCTCCTGCCTCTGCCTCCCCAGCACTGGGATCATAAGTGTGGACCACTACACCAAGCTTTTTCATGTGGGTTCCGAGACTCCAACTCAAGTCCTTACATGATTTCCTAACTGAGCCGTCTTCCCAGAAACACAGCTTCTATTTTTAAGGAACAACTCCCAGGCTAATGTTCTCTAAGAATGAGGCCTCCTAAACACACTTTGAGAAGTTGGCTTCACCCTTGTGCCTTCCAACAGCAATGCCTGAGGCTTTAAGGATCTATGTAGGAGAAGGGGGCTGGGGCATTTCACAACAGTTATATTTACCTGGTAAGACGATTATCCCCATTCTCCAGATAGGAAAACTGAGGCTCGGAGTTCACATCCTCTCCAGCTAGTGAGGGATGGGGCTGGAGTTCATACCCAGATTTTTCTGGCCCCAAAGCTCATGGTCTTGTGTTACGTCACGCTTGCCTACCTTAGGTTAATTGAAAGACAAAAGAGCCATTCCTTCATTGGGAAAAGGGCAGAAACCAACAGGCTCACACCCACCTGATCCCTTTTCCTTCCTTGTCCTCCACAAAGGTGCCATGCAGCAGATGGTCAGCTTCCGGAACCTGACCCGACAGTGGAAGAGTTCATCGGCTGGTGTTGGGAGGTCCCAGACCGTGCTCAGAGAACACGCCTCAGCTGCAGGAGACAGCAAATTCCAGACCCTAGGTAAACGCCATCTCGTGAGTGTGCTCAGAAGTCCAGGCATCCCTACATCCAAGGCCTCGGGGACCTCTAAGCAAGGAGAGGGCATACCAGGCCTCTCGGGCTCTGGAGGACTGACTACCATAGACACGGGATTGGTATAACTCCAGGACCCAGCTTTGTGCAGAGGCGGGAAGCAGGAAATAGCAGGCAGGGCTTTCTGCAAGGCTCTCCTGCACAGCGTCCCTTCCCGCCCTCAGCTGCGGCTCTCCAGCCTCTGGGTTCTCCCTGACACCAAGTTCTGGGAAACCTAATGAGCAGGAGCAAGTGATGGCCATAGAGAGTATTCAGTCTGCCGGGGTCACACCATCTGCTGTTTCCTCGGTTCCTAGCATCTCCCCTTCAGCCTTCACCTGATCGCCTGGTGCTTAGAGAACTGTGGCATGACCTTTGTGTGACCTTGAGCTGATTGACAGTCTGGCTGTTCTACATCTTTCATCTACGCCTGTCTTCTGGCTCTCCACAGACAGCCTGTGCTCGTCCTAACCCCTTCCCTTGGGACCCTCTATACACAGTGGGGGCATCCTGCCCTCTGCTGAACATGGGGAGGACACCAGCAGCCACACCCTGACCCCAGGCAGCCACCCACACTGTAAGAATGTAAGGAAAGAGATAGTAAAAGAAGGACTAGAGTATTGGATGTGCAGAGCCACTTTTCAGAATTAAGGACAACGTCTTGGTCTCTTTGTGCCCCAAGCACCAGGGACCAGCTGAGCCCGGTCACTGAGTTTCTGGAACTTTCTGGTCTAAACCATTCCTTCTCTGCATCTCAGCCCTAGTCAGGCAGAGGCGTCCATGGAAATCGCAAGCCCCATCCTTCCTGTCATGCTTTGTTCAAGCCCCGTATCTCCAGCCCCTCACCTCTTACACTACCCCTCCTCGTTCCCTACCAAAGGTTATCAGCACTGCGCTGAGAAGTCCCCTGCACTTAGCTCCATCCTCACTACTCAGAACCCCTGGCCCGCCTCTCAAGGGACGTTCTGTTCCCTGGTCAAGAGAGGAGAGAAACGAGCCTCGGAGAAGTCAGCGACTCACTCGCGGTGGCCGTATGTGATGGAATCAAGGCTCGGGCTCAGTGTTTGGCAGTGAACTGTGACAAAGTGACACTGTGTTTACCTCCTGCTTGCCTCAGTCATTCAGCCACTCCATCTCTAGTTCGCTCTCGTGCCGAGTGCTATGGCAATGAGCCCCTTCTCATTTGGGGAGACCGAGGCTTTGCTGGCCGTGTCTGTACACGAACCTCTTTTCTATAATTTAGAGCCTCCCTTATGTCAGCTTGTCCCATCAGTCTGACCCCAGAAGTGACAGTCCCAATAGCCATCAACTTGGTTCAGCGCTGTATTGGTTACTCTTCTGTTCCTGTGATAAAATACCCTGAACAGAGCAACTGAGGGAAGAAAGAACTCGTCGTGGTTGGCAGTTCCAGAGGGATAGAGCCCCTCACGGTGACAAAGGCATGGGAAGGAGCACAGGAAAACAGTGGTGGGAGCAGGAAGTCGGCTGATCACGTTTTCATCCACACACAGGAACAAAAAAGAAAGAGAACAGGAAGTGGGGCCTGCCCTAGTGACTATATCTTCCAGTTAGACTTGACTCCCAAAGGTTCCATAACCGCCCCCCAAACTTTCCCACTAACTGGGGACCTGGTGTTCAAATCCATGAGCCTATGGGGATCACGTCCCATTCAAACCACCACAATCATGTTTGTGGACTATGACTAGCATGTCTATTTTACAGACAGGGAAACTGAGGCTCAAAACCTTCTGTTGGGTCGAGGCTATGTACTGGTGCCTCCTGGAAATGAACATCTCAGTGGGCACAGACCTGGGGAGGAAATACCACCGCATCTAGACTCTGACTCCCATCCTGAAGCCCTCCCAGACTTGCCTCAGATTCCCTGTGGGGTCTGTAGTTGAAGATTTCACTGAGTACATGGCTGAGTACTTAAAGCACTAAGCGTTATCTGAATGATGTCTCACTGGCTCCTCCCACTGACTCTGTGAGACAGGTACCCTTAGCCCCAGTTTACAATGTGAACTGAGAACATTACCAAGAGGCCACTGCTTAGTGAGTGGGGGTGTTAAGTCTTTGATACCAGCATGGTAGGAGGAAAGGAGAGGTGAAGGATGCTCAGGCCCCACTGGCCTCCTCTGTTGCAGCCCTAGAAGAAAGCCCTGCTTCGACCTTCAATAAACCCCTGTCCCCCGGCCAGGAGAAGCAAACCGCTGAGGAAGGTAGGTAGGCAGCTGGGGCTGGCCCTCTTACTGTGTCAGCGGAATGTGAGAAGTACTAGGGGCAGGGAGGCGTCACCAACAGAGTGCCCAGAACTTCACTGATGTCTCAGAACAGCCAGCAAGAGATGGAGGGGATTGTCCCCGGTTTAAAAATGAAGACATTGAGGCTTGGAAGGGGGAAGCAATTTGCCCAGCGTCACTTAGCAAGTTCGTTATAGAGCTGGGCCCAGGGTTGCGTGCCACGCCCACCCCCACCCCCGCCCCCGTTCCAGCTGAGAGGCCATTGTCCCTTGGCACCCATCATGGCATCCTCTAGCAGGGTTGCCAACTCAGTGTCTAATCCAGAAATGGTGTGGTTGGTGAAAAACTGTAACAGTCCCTTCAGTCACCTCCCAGAAGATGCCAGGCTCTGCCTGCAAGAACCCTATAGGCTCCCCTGCCCCTTACCTATGTCACCCCTATCCACGGCCCCTGGGGTGTAGCTGCTCAGCCATCAGTTCGCATCCTGGTACCATCTGTACATAGGCAAGCTCCTGTTCCACTCGGAACCTGTTTCCCCAGGTGGGAGGTGATTCAGTGGACAGGTCCCCTATCAAGTCTCAGCTTGTCATTCTGTGACTCTCTAGGTCCCCCTCACAACACATCCACCAGTGCCCCATCCTCCATGAAGACCTCCGAGACTCTCTTTGTATCCAAGTAAGTGGAGTTTCCTCTGAGAACATGGTGCTTGCTTTCTTTTTCCTGTCAAAGGCAGAGGCAGCCTTACCTCAATGGTGCTAAAAAGTCCTGCGACCTAAAAATGCCAGTGTGCTGGGTCTCAAGCTGTCTAAATATTCCCTCCATTTCCAAGGTCTCTTTAAATATAAACACCCATGGGAAGGCCAAAAATAGTTACTTTTTTCTTTGCTGTGAAAAAAATCACCCAAGCAAAGCAATTTTCAGGGGGTTTGTCTTGTGCTTACTTAGTTTGAGGGTACAGTCCATCACGGTTGGGAAGGCATGGCGGCAGAAGTGTGAGGTGGCTGGTCACATCATATCTGCAGTAAGGACGCAGAGAGATGGATACTGGTGTTCAGTTCACTTTCTCCTTCTCATTCAGTCCAGGATTCCAGTCCATGGGATAGTGCTGCCCACATTTAGGGTGGGTCTTCCCTCCTCCATTAGCCCAGAGAGTTGTCTCTTCCTTGGCCCCAGAACCCATCAGGTTGACAATATCAACTGTCACAACTATCTTAGGAGTTTCCCCATCCCTGGCCTTGGGTGGATACAGTATCCACAGACAGTATCCACTGACCTGATCGTTACCCTGTTGTCCCTAACAGATGAGTTAGGGATGGACACTCCCCCTTCCTCCAGGCCTCCATTTCTCTCTCTGAGAGGGCTGGGTTGACCCAGAGAACCTGTTTCTATCTACACAGGTTGAATCTCAGCAAGCCGAGGCTGCTAACCCGAGCTGCCAAAGGCTTTCTCAGCAAATCACTGTCCAAGGCTCCAGAGCCAACTCGGGGCACCCAGAGCTTCGACTACATACCACTGGTAAGTACCAGACCTCAGACCCCTCCCACCCAGCTCACCCCCTGTCCAGGCCTTCCCCCTCTTCCAAGGGAAGGAGCTCTTGTCTCAATGCCCGTATCTAAAGAAATCCTGAGCTTCCTAGAACTCCCCACCCAAGGAGCCACCAAGGCAGAGGGAACAGTCAGGAATTCCCACATGGGGTGTCCGTATTAGCCAGTGCCAGCCTCAAGATGCTTTTCTATGCTCTGCTATCCTTGCCTTAAAAATTCACGGGACTTGGGCACTGTCCTATAACATCAGCCACATGTCTGTTCTCAGTACATAAAAATAAGCCTTGACATGACTCTCGGATGAGTAAAAGTCCCATCCTAAGGACACACCCTTGCTCCAAAAGTGGCTCTGTAGGTGGCTCAGTACGCCATGGTGCTAGAGGAGCCTGGATCTGCAGCCTGCTGCTCAGAGTCAAGGAACACAGCAAGCAGTGTTCTGCCACCTCTGAGTGTCCCTGAGCTTGGGGTTTGTGGGGTGTGTGAAGGAGAGGCATGGTTCGGGTACATCACCTCATGTCTCCATCCTTCCACACCCAGGCGTGTTCATGGTGTCATTTGGAATCCTCAAAAGTCCAGGGGGACTGAGCACTTACACATGTCATCACTCTGCCAGTGATGACTGAGTCAGACTCAGCGCAGACCCTGAGGAGTCGGCCTTGAGTTAGTTAAGTGTAGTTCCTGGAAGGAAGCACCCAGTGGAAGGCAGGGTAGGAACCGGGCAATCCCACCCCTTAAGAGCAGTGGGAGGTTCTCTTTGGTGGGAAATACAGGTAGGACCCTGAGGCCTGAGGTCAGGGGTCATTCGGGGGTACTAACAGAATGGAGTATGACTTCCCGAAGAAGGCAGTGGCTGAGCTGAGACCTGACTCTTGAGGAGTCATGACTGGAAGCCTAGAAAGGAGACAGCTTGTCATCTGGAGAAGGATGTGGAGGGAAGGGGAGTGCAGGAAAAAACGGAGCCAGGTGGTGCAAGGCTTCATAAATCACACGCTGGACTCCGTCTAACAGAACACTGAGTAAATGGGAAATTGAGCAGGGCCTTCAGAGAGCATGTAATCTAGGCTTTGTGGAGGGAGATCCCTCTGAGTGCAAGACAGATGAACAGATGTGGAGGAGGAAAGAGAGAGGGGGCGGGGAACGTGTGAGGAGGCAGACAGTGGACTAAGAGAGTGACCTGTTAGGACTTAGAGAGTGACCAGTCCCCATGCAGGGACAAGGGTGAGCAGGCTAGGGTCTGCAGGACAGGTCTGCACAATCCCAGTGGCCAAGCAGAGCCTGCACAGGGTAAGAGGCAGGCATGGAGCCGGGAGAGTGAGTGAGTTTGGCCTGGAGAATGATTAGCCCGCTATGTTGAAGGGTAAATTAAATAAGAGCATACCCAGTTGACTTGGGGTATCCCGAAAACAGGCAGAATGGGCAGGAGGAAATGAACAAGCAGACGTTTCATGTGGATCTGGATTTCACGTGGCCTGGGGCCCCATGGCCTGGGAGGTTTGAGACCCACGAAGATGGCTTCCCTGCCCACAGGTGTCTCTGCAGCTGGCCTCAGGAGCCTTTCTGCTCAACCAAGCCTTCTGCGAGGCCATCCAGATCCACATGGAGAAACTCAAATGGACCTCACCCTTCATCTGCCTCCGAATGTCCCTCGTCAACCACCGGCATGATTCGAAGAACCAGAGTCCACAGCACTGCCCTGTTCTGTCATCTCCGTCCCCACCCTGTGAGGACACCTCCCTGGAGTCCCAAGCTGAAGGCAGCTCAGGCCTGGACTCAAGTGCACTGTTGGAGTTCACAGGAAAGCTGTGGGCCACCGTGGTGGCCCTCGCATGGCTAGAACACAACTCAGCTTCCTACTTCATTGAGTGGGAGCTGGTAGCTGCTAAGGCCAGCTCATGGCTGGAGCAGCAGAAGGTACCCGAAGGGCGCACACTGGGCGCACTCAAGGCCACCGCTCGCCAGCTGTTCGTGCTCCTGAGACACTGGGATGAGAACCTGGAATTCAATATGCTCTGTTACAACCCCAATTACGTGTAGGGGAGGGGGAGAGGGATGGGCCATTTGGGTTGGTAGGGGAACTTTTTGAAAGCTGTAGACAATATAGTGTTGCTAGAAAGAGCCTTGGACTGGCAGTGGTGGGCTTGACTTCGATCCCAACCTTGCTCTCACCTCCTAACTTTAGACCAGTCACTGCCCTATCAGGGCCTTAGTTTCCAATCTGCAAAACAAGAGAGTGAGATAAGGCCATGTACTAGATCTTTAAATGGACCCACTCTTCCTTTCCATTCAGACCTTCAGGCAGCTTTTGGGCCATGGCGAGGGAAACACACACACACACACACACACACACACACACACACACAGAGAGAGAGAGAGAGAGAGAGAGAGAGAGAGAGAGAGAGAGAGAGAGAGAGAGGAGTTTTCCCTGGAGAAAGACCATGTTGGCATGCACCAGGAAGGAAGGACAATGCCCCTGTCCAGTAAAAAGGTAGATAAGAAAATCCATCAAAGATAAGCCACCAGAACCACAAGCTTGTTCCAGGCACCAAGAAACCTTCTCTTGTTTATTGCACCATGGGATGGGTTTGTGTCTCCATGGTAACAGTCCAGGGGCTCCTAATCCCACTAGGAAGCCAACCAAAGAACCATCCCTCCCAAGACTTTGCAAGAGATTCTTCCTAGCAGTTGAGTACCGTATGATTGGCACTAAGTTTGGCTTCCTATCTAAGGAAATGAGGGCAGGACCAGTGGGGGATAGGTTCTCTTCCAGACAAAATAGTAGATTGTAGCTGAGGTCTGTAGAACTACTTTAAAATAGGCAAGCCCACAGGAATTGGTGAAGAAACCAGACTTAAATAATTTACATGCTTTCCATTGTTGGATAAAGTGACTCCATCCATTTGTATGGATGGGCTAGAGTGCCTCTGTGTGCATTGCACTCTGGGATAGTGGAGTCTCTATCCACGTGACCATACCACATTGTCAGGCAGAGAGAAAATTTCACTGCAGCAGAACAGTTGGGCTGCAGTGTGTCTGGAGATGGAAAGGAATAAAAGGCTCTCGAACCTTTAAAGCAAGAGCTGTGGGGGGGCCTCCCCAAATCTAGGAGCACCCTGTGATAACCCTGGACTGGTGTCCAACTGTCTAGGCACCACCCCTGCCCCCTCACACTTCCCCAGAAGTGTGTCTGGATCTCACCAAGGACACTAGCCTGGGACCCTAGACAGAATCTATGGACCCCATAAATCCCCTCTTTCTAAGGTATTAACATCTCATGTGTGTCTCCAAAAATAGTCCCTAAGACCCTTGATATGAAACCCTACAACGTTTCTTTGTTGGTGAGACAACTCTTGATTAAACCAACCCACGGGTTATGGGCTTTGAGCCAGTTGACAGCTCCATGAAGATTCTAAAGGACATACAGTCTCTATTGAGAGCTAGAGGCAGGGATGCTTCCACAGAACACCAGCTGAGGGAAGGGACAAGAGACAGGCCCAAAAGGATTTGGGTGCTCTGCTCCCTGCCCTCACACCCTGCCTTGCCTCTGGTTACGCTGCGGCAGCTTCCCATGGGGCCCCTCGCTGTCTCAACGACCCTCTTGAGGAGTCAAGTCCCTACTTCACTGAATGCTTCTGCTTCCAGTTCACCCTCTGGGGAGAAACAGCTCCTGACCTCAGAGGGGGCAGAATGAAATCTTGGGCACTGGCTTAATATCAGTGTCGCCAAGAGGGACAGGGATTTAGATTATCTTGCCTGAGGTCCCAAGGAGATATGAGGAGAGACGTGTCAACTCCCTTGCTCCATCAAAACCCCCACTACTTTCGCTACACAGCCAACAGCCCTAGCTTCTCCAGGAAGGCAAGGGTAGTGTCCCTTCTCTGGTCACCATGAAAGGAAAAATGGTCAGGCTGTGAGTCAGGACATGTGGACTTGAATCTCAGTCTCGATGCTCTTTCAGATAATAAGAGACTTCCCTTCTCTCCGTATTCTAGAGTTAACCTGCTTCTTTCTGCTAGCATTCCCAGATTCCCTATGGGTAAACATGGATTTACTCTATTTCTGCGTAACTTTGAACATGTTGTGTGTGTACTCCAGGCCTCTCTCTTCCTCTAGCAATGAGCAAACTGGACTATCTAGCCCGCACCTGCCCATGAGCTTGATCCCAGAACTCAGGACCTGGAGACGACAATGCCCATGGCTGGGAGCAGTCCAGTTCTCACCCAGCATGGAATCAGTACTATGAGATGCCTAGGAAGATATGCCCATGTATCCGCTGCCAGAGCTCAGCGGTGTGTTTGATGCATAATTGCTGATCTCTGCAGCCCTGGACTCGCCCTTCTAGCACCATAGTACCAAGGAACAGATCCCTTGGTGTCCAGTAACCCAAGGACTTGGGGAGGGAGTGTCCGAACAAGAGGCATTTGTCAAAACTACTCCAGTTGCAGCCTCAGCACCCCACTGCCTGGCTCACCAAGCAGATGGCCAATGGGTTGGACCTCAAGGAAAAGGTGAGAGCCCTAGGTAGTGAGCACATGCATGGACGCTGAAGCGGTACAAAGATCAAGGAGTGCACGGTTGTTCCTGTGATCTATGTGAACTTGAATTCATCTCATTTAGTTCGTTGAACCAGCTTTACTTCCAAGGTCATGTCAAAGGGACACTGATGTCCTCACTGTGTGAAGAAATGTCCGCTGAGACTGTCCAGCCAGCCTCTATACTGCCTTTAGTGGTAAAAACATGGGCCAAGAATTGAGGAGCCTGTGAGCTGGACCCAAATCCAACTATCACTGCGCTGTGTGACTTCTGGCACATTGTTGTCTTCCTCCAAGGCCCTGTTTTATTTATTTATTTATTTATTTATTTATTTATTTATTTATTTATTTATTTATTTATTTATTTATTTATTGTAGAATGGTAGGATTCGATTAGATGCATACTTCCAAGCTTGTTGCCCACCTACAAGAAACTTCTGTGTGTCAAACACACTGGGGAAACCCCCAGAAAACAGATTTATGCAGGCAAGAAAGATAATCGGTAACGGCACCACCACTTACTGGCACTACTACTTTCCAAAGAGATCACCAGCATGCAGCTCTTTCAAAGGTACCCAGTTGAAAAAATGCTGGTCTTTGGGCATTTCCCTGGGTTGGTACTAACATCCAAACAGCCTTTATAGAGTGCTTGCTGTTTGTAAGGCATGTGAAGTGGCCCTGTGAGCACACTGGCTGCCACCCCTGTCCTTTGGAGTTTGACAAGGAGTACTAGAAGAGCTCCCATGACCCCTCTGGCACTCCTTGGTCCATGGCTGGGTTTATCTTGACTGACCGTACTCCAGACTCATGGTCTTGCCGAGTGTGAGCATAGCCTCAGCCTAGCACTGTCTGAGCACTGCCGATGCTAATCTGTAGATCTCTGAGCACTCTGACATTCTTGATGGTGTGAGGACAGCTGGCCATGGTAACAACCAGAGAGGAGCACCCGATGCCCTTTGGGTCTACCTCCTGCCATAGGCAGACCGTGTCTCTAAGGCTCCTCAGCTGAGGAGTCCAACTCTGGAGCCCAGGGAAGCTCAGCCTCACACTCAGTAACTTGGCTCACACTGAGTGTGTAAATGTAAATAGGTGGCCTTGGTTTCCAATCTGTCCCCTGCTTGAGGCAAAATGAGTGTCCGCGGTGACCTGAGCTGGCATGGTTGTGGCTGATGAGTGGAGCAGCCTCTCCCAATACCAACTCCTGGTAATTTTCATTTGCCCTTTGGATGAGTGAAAAAGCAAGCCCTCCACCCCAATCCCTCTGCTTGCTGGTTCACTCATCCAATAAAGATTTCTAGAAGTTTCCTCTAAATCCTGCCTGCACCCCCCACTGACATCTTTATTTGAGGGCCAAATGCCTCCACCCTCTCCCTCGGCAGGGACTCTTAAAGGAGAGAGCATAGGAAAGGGTCTGTTCCACCTGACCACAGTGGCCTCCTCCCCAGAGACTGGATACCCCATCCCTCTGCCTGGCTGGATGACACCCCAGCACTTGTCATTTGGGGTTCTAAGTCCTGCCTCACTTCTGACACACTGTAACATCTCAGAGTAACCCCAGGTAGAAGTGCATTCTCCATCCTCAGTGCCTCAGGTGGGAGAGGGAAGGTATGAGGCATGCATCCATTGCCTCAGCACTTGGAGATGTTTTTTTTTTTTTTTTCCATAGCAGAACTAAGGACAGCAGAGGAAACAAAGAGGCAGACCCCTCCATTGTAACGTGGCTCTCTCTACAGGGCCACCAAAATAACATGTGTGGCATTGTGCAGCTGAGTAACCTGATCCACAGAGGTCTGTCCCCAGGCCGTGGACTTGGTAACCTTGCCCAGCCAATACTATAGTTCCCTACTAGGGAAGTGCCCTGACCCCTGTGTCCATCTCTGCCCTGACCTGGTGACTCTAACCTCACACCAGCACCGCCCTCCCCAGGTGACCTAACAATGCCCGTGTGAGATGTCTCCTGTTGACGCTGCAGTTCTCCCAGACTTCTTGGTCCAGCTGTCCTGCCTGGGCTTGCAGCTGCTTCTAAGGCAAAGTGCTGGTCTCCATGCATTCATGTGGTAATGTGGTATAATTCCAACTATTTGCTCAGGTGGCTTTGGCTCAAGCGGCATGGCTGGTGCTTGTCCCTGTCAGAGCCTCAAGTGCCTATCACACGCTGCCCTGTGTTTTTCTCTGCTCAACCCAATGACCCCACAGTGCCTGGGACACTTCCCGCTTCTTGGAAAATACATTAGCATCTTGCCTAGTGTGGCCCAGTTACACTGATGTTTGCTGAGGTCCTAGATGCCAGCTGTCGAATTCTACCAACACTTAGCCATGCCTGCCCTGGGATTGTGTGTGTGTATCTATTTTCAAAGGAATGGCTGCTTTGCCATGATGTCTCCTGTCCTCCTCCAGGCTTTTGGCTCATAAAGAGTGTCCATGTGACAAGATTATACTTGTGTCTGCTGGTTTTGTTCTCAGAGTCCAAACTACCAGGACAGGGACCGTTCACCTTCCTTAGTGAGCTGCGTCTGTCTTATCGAGGCTGCCTCTTACGGTGACATCATCTAGGTTTGCCTGGGACTGAAAGGTCGCCAGGATATTTTACAATTGGGACAGTCGTGGTCAAATAGAAGTGGGTTCCTGAGAAGTAGATACGGATAAGTTGTATGCACATATGTGGTTTAATCGGGGGTCCCAGGAAATACCCTGGGAGAGGTGAGAAGAGGAATGGATGTTGTGGTATACTTTCTGGAGAGACATACAGAAATGTCTATTCACCCCAGAAAGGGGAAGAAAGTGGCGGGGGGGGGGGGGGAGATTCTAAGTCCAGCTCAGCGAGCCAATGAGTTTATTGGGATTGCGTAACAGAGGCAAGGATGACAAAGAGGAAGCTATGCCACCGAGGAGTGTCACTAAAGAGTGCCACGGAGGAGGAGTGCCACCAAAGAGTGCCACCTGCACCAGGAACGCTCACAGAAAAGCTGAACTTCTGAATGCTCCCTGGGCAATTATTTACCTTTTATATAACCTCAGGGAAGGAAGGGCCTTAGGAAGAGCTCCCAAGCCTCCCCACCGCTCCCTCTGGAGGGAGTGTTAACCCACCAGGTCCCCTAGGGCCACCCAGGGTGATCGCTTTTGCTATGGTTTCAAGACTCCAGCCACATCCAACCCAGAGGAAACAGCCACCCAGCAGATAAATGTGAAGGGTCACTGATAGAGGGAATGTTGCTGCTCAGGTTACTACCATGGCCGTGGACCCTCATCCTAACCAGGAATTCTGGGAGCCAGAGTGACGAAAACCTCAAGTTTGCCATGACCAACTGTATGCCCTTGAACTGTAAGCCAGAAAGAACCCACCCGCCTCCCTTACATTGCTTCTTGTTGGGTATTTTGGTCACAACAACAGGAAACGTGATCGACACAAGCCCTTTGCGGATTACAGGGGAAATGGCTGCCTAAAATAGAAGTTCCCATCAGCCCTCAAAACATCACTATAAGGCACTACCTGTCCCTGCAGATAGTGCGGGATGCCAGCAAGCTGAGCCAAAACAGTCACCAACCCCCTGCTGGCCTGCAGCAGAGAGCTAGCCTTCAGCGTGACCAACAAGCCCTGTCACTGTCCCACCTCCACTGGAGGCCCCTATGACACCACCTCTGCCGTTGGGAGGAACTTGGTACTTCATCCTCTGACCCTCCTGGATTGCGGTAAGGATCCCCCAGCCCCTTGCACTGGAATGAGGTGCTGATGGATAATCGGGACTCCTGGGCTGTCTCCAGGAACTCTGGAAGACAGGCGTGATGGCACCCCAGATTCTGGGCCTGCAGTGTTCCCTCTCCTGAGACAGCCTGCAGGCCACTGTTGCCCCTGTCACTCTACAGCCTGAGCTGCCCTGGGCTCTCAGTTCACTCTCACCCTGGTCTGCCGGGTGGACTCCAGCCCCGCGTTCTCAACCTCCATCATTCTGCTGGAAGCCCCGAGGAACTCGCTCCCCGACTGTGACCCTCTTCTGGGAGCACCCAGCCCACCCACACCCAGAGTCCAGCTGGCCCAGGTCTAGGGCCTTGGAAGAAGGAAGGGCCATGCATCCTCTATTGCACAATGAGCCCTGAGTCATCTTACTGACACGTGATGGAAAGGAGTCCTTTCCTAGCCCAGATACCTACGATGCTGGCCAGACCCCACTCTTAAAGCCAGCTCAGAGGACAGTGTTTACTATAGCTTTCTCAGCCATCCTAAGACTAACTGGTCCCAGAAAGGTCTCAGATCTTCCAGAGAGCAGATATGCAACCTTGCAGGTGTTGGCCCATTTCCTGTGTACCCAGCACCAGTGCCTGGGGCTCCACAGCAGGAAAGCAGGGGCTGTTTTGCAGGCCTTGCTGTGTTCAAGTCGTTGGCAATGTCATCCTGACATCCAGCAGAGAGCGCTGTGGGTGTACACTGCCTTCCCAGACCAGGGCTGTGTGCCCGGCCTGGATGTGGGAAGTGAGGAGCAAGCACAGGGGTGGAGGCCTGCAACCCAAGCAGCTCCTGCTGAAAACAAGCACTTCTGCAGCCCAGAAGCCCGATGTGCCGTATGTACTCAGCTGTGAGTTCAGACCCCAGGCTGGCTCACCTATGCCTAGAAAGGACAAAGTGGCCATGTGGTCCTTGCCTGCTTGGCCTAATCCTCCTTCTCTCCTCCACCATATTTGTACCACTCCCCACAACCTCATGCAATGCCTGTCTCTTTCAGACCAGCTTCCCAGATCTCCTCTCAATAGCAACTTCATATTTTACTGGGACTGGGATAGGGAGGGTCTGGTCTGTCTCCCTATTGGACTGGGAGCTCCCAGCTCTATATATTCAGGGAAATCCTTCAGGGCCAGTGTACCTGCCCAGTGCTGTGTACCAGTCTGCTCTCAACAGATTGGAGGTCTTCCAAGAGCAGGGCTTTTATGTCCTCCATCAGACAGGGGGTTTCTCAAATAGAGGTCTCTGTCTCCTCCGTCAGACTGTACATCCTTCAAGGCAGAGCTTCTGTAGCTCTCATAGCACCTGTTCAAGCACTGTCTCCAAGCAGTGATCAGTTTGAGGATAGTCTCTTGGTCATTCACTCAAGAAGGGATCTGAAATGACCCAAGTCCCATGAGTTTCGCATGCTGAGTATAAGGATTTAGACATACAAACATTACCAATGTAGGGGGAGAAAAGGAGGGGACAGATGGAATTTTAAGAGTGGAGACTCTGGCTGTCTTATACATGCCAGCCTTCGCTCTTCCCTGACAGATCTCCTCCATCCACACTGTCACCTCACACTCTGCTCACATCCCTGCTCGCCTGTGCTACCTAGTCTCCCTGCCTGCAGATGATGACTTTGTATCCACACTGCCACCAGGGAAACCTCAAACACCCTCCATGGCTCCCACAGCCTCTGGAGGGAAAATCCGAACTCAGTCTGACATACAAGATCCCTCACACAGACTGGGGGCAGAGGTCTCACTATTTTTTGTCACTTCTTACATGTCATACCAGAGTCATTCCCTTCATCTACAAGCCACGTTGCCTTCTAAACCACAGGGTCCATGATAGACTTGGAGATACAGCTAGAAGCAAAATGAAATCCCTGCCTGCATTGTGGCTGGACTGCCACAGCAAAGCACCCCACATGAGAGTTTAATAAGGTAGCCACCGTCCCACAGCTCTGGAGGCCCCCAAGTCCAAGGTCACAGCTCCATTCTTCACACTGCATTCTCCACAACAGTTCCTGTCTCCACTACTCCCTTTTTATAAAGATACTAAGTTAGCACCCACCTAGATGACCTCAATTAGCTAAATTGCCTCTTTTCTAAAATTTACTATTATTATTATTATCATTATTATTATTTATAATACATTAGTGTGTGTGTGCACACATGCTTGTGTGAACGCATGATAAGAGAACATGCACATACATAGTTCCAGGAATAAAGTTTAGATTGTCCAGCATGCACACTAAGCACCTTTACCCACTGAGTTCTCTTGCTTGCCCTAAATTATCACTTTAATACCACATTCATACACCAAAAAAAAAAATGGAAGGAAAAAAAGATCTTATCTCCATATCAGGTCTCATTCTGGAAGTTAGAATTTCAGTGTAGGAATTGAGAGCAACATTGAACCTGCCCGCTGTCTCCATGGGGCTGATGGTCTAGGAAAGAGAGACAGATGAGCAACACAAAACCAAGTCAATATATACCGACACGTCCTGGTGAGGTTTTGGGTTTTGCTGTTGCTGTTTGGGTTTTTGTGTTTGTTTGTTTGTTCGTTTGTTTGTTTTTGTCAAGTTGACACAAGCAAGTGTCCTCTGAGAAGAGGAAATGCCCCCATCAGACTGGCCTGTAGGCAACCCTGTAGGTCATTTTCTAGATTACTGACAGCTACGGAAGGACCCAGACCACCGTGGGAAGAGCCACCCCAGGATAGTATAAGATAGTATAGTATAGTATAGTATAGTATAGGATAGGATAGGATAGGATAGGATAGGATAGTATATAGATGGATAGTATAGTATAGTATAGTATAGTATAGTATAGTATAGTATAGTATAGTATAGTATATAGATGGATAGTATAAGAAAGCAAACCAAGCAAGCCATGGAAGCCAGACCATGGAGTTCGGCCATGATCTGTGCTTCAGTGTTTGACTTCAGCTTTCTGCCTTGAGTTCCTGCTCTGGCTTCCCCTCATGACAGACTGTAACCTATAAGCCAAAAAAACCCTTTCCTCCCCAAGTTGCTTTTGGTCATGGTGTTTGTCCCAGCAACAGAAAGCTAACTAGAACACGGGGTAAAGGCTGGAGGGCAGCTCGGCGATGCACCGTTAGAGAGCGCCAGGGCGGCAGAAAGCTAACTGAGGCAGAGCTGCTTGATGACGGAGCCCAAGGCCAACCCAGTCACCTTTTCTTCAGTCAAAATTAAAAAGACAATAATCTAGCTATCATCGGCAGGGCCGTAAGTGTCAGGAGGGCAGATGTGGCCTCACACTCATATCTTTGCTCCTCGGGACTCTAGGAAGCATCATTTGTTATTATACACAAGGACTCTGAAGTTCAAAGACATCGTGTATTCTGTCCAGGGTCATCCAACTAGAAATCTAGGTGGGAAGGATTCAAATCTGGGTCTGCCCATCCATGGGTCCATGTACTCCAAGGCATGTGCCCCACACTTCCTATGCTCAGCTAAATGGGCCAAGGTGCCTGGGGTTTTAGGAAGGAGGCCTTTTGACTAAGCTTTTTGCTTTCTCCCAAGTTTAATTAAAGGAAATCTGTTTCTGGTCAGTTACCAGGACTGCTGTGGTGGTATTGTGTTCCCCAAAATATTGTGCACCCCAATAAACTTATCTGGGGTCAGAGGACAGAACAGCCACTAGATACATACATAGGCTAGAAAATGGTGGCACTCACGCCTTTAATCCTATCACTTGGGAGGCA